GTCTGTCAGTCTGGGAGAGGCACTTCCTCCATTTTACATTCAGCATTATCACATACGGCGTGAATTTATTTCTATTTTTTAAACTCTTTAATGTGTTAAAATAATGGTATGTTCTAAAATATTGAATGACAGACATATCAAAATTAAGGATTTGCTACTGCCATTTTTGTTAGATTCATTATTTGAATAAACTCTCACAGAAAGTCACAAACCACACAGAAAGGTCTTAATTAAGCGATGTTTCTTCTTATAGCCGTAAGAATCCATTGAAGCTTCTTGTTGCGTTGGATCAAAATGAAGAAGCAAAAGGACAACTTTTCTGGGATGATGGAGTAAGCATCGGTAAGAATTTCTAAAAACATTTTTTATTAAATTAAACAGGCTTTCTTGAAATATAGTATCTGATCTGATTAGACTAAATATTTTTAGTTTAATTGTTTAACATTTTTAATGATGTCAATTTTCTTTACTATATCAAATTGTTTGTTGCAAATTAAAGCATGGATTATTTGACATTTTTTTTTTAAACCAGCAAGCAAATACTTGTAAACAAATGTACAAACCAAAATAAATATATTGTTTTAACACATTTTACTTATTTATTAGATGGATTCCAAAGGGGCATTTACATTTATTATGAATTTTCTGCTGGTTCAGTAAGTAGGATCTGTTTTGTTTTTTCAAACAAAGTATTAATAATGCAATGGAATAAATTTGACTAGTAATAGGTTTGAGGTTCCTCATCAGTTTAACATATTAAACCTTACGTATGTATTTGAATGGTGCAGACATATACTATTTTAGTGGTTTGTAAATAAATATTTTTTAAAATTCTATTTCATTATTCAAATTGGATTTCAAGAGTGACAAAAATCTAAATTTCTTAAAACGGGTCACTTAAACATGCTTTTTATATGTCATGGACAAAAGCCAATAAATTTATTTACACTCCATAATGAATGAATATAATATAAAATGTGTTATGGATATAATTTAAAAGTTTGGGTTGGGAAGGAGGAATAGGAAAAAATTACTCCCATATTTTGCCATCAAATCAATTTTATATATTTTTGTTTATGTACTACAAAGTGGAATGTATGCATTTAATTATTCACATCCTAGATCATAGGTATTATGCATGTACATTCTGTTTCAAATGAATTGTAATTGATCTGAAATTTGGATGACTGGTGATTCATATGAATTCCCAAACTTCAAAACGCTACATGGACAAATCACAAAAAAATAAAATAAAACTGGCAATGGCTGAAACTTTTTCATTTGTTTTGTGATTTGGAGTTTTGTCCGTGGTATCAAACAAAAAGGATAATTGATTGAAAAAAATATGATTGCAGCTAAGGAATATAATCTAAATTTTTATTTTACTCACCAACAAGTGAGAAGTGACTAAGAAAAGGACAAAATAGCAGTATTAAATACATACAAATATATATTATATATCTGATAAATATATAATATATAAATAAATATTTTTACTGTTCTTCCTCTTTTTCCCTGTAGGCTTACATCTTCCTACTTAAACTATGAATAATTTTTAATACAATTTGTCACCATGCACAAGACTAATAGGTAGTTTTATGACTCATGTAAAATAAATGGTTTGTGTAACATAGATTGTAAAATCGGTCCTTTTTATTTTAGAATTATTTGAACCTCAATGCAACGCATTCAGTGTATGTTGATCCAAATAATTTGAAATTTGAAGAAATACAAATCCACGGACTGTCAAAGCCTATCAGCGATCTAGTGATAAAAAAAAATGGCATTGTGGAATCCGCAACAACTCAAATCACATATGATTCAGTTCAACAGGTATTTATAAGCACACAATTTGCACATATGGTATATAAACACAAAATATTGATTTGCAAGGAATCAGTAACATTTCATGACTACTTTAATAACTGTTCTTTATTGTGCAAATTATGTATCTGTTAATGTCAATCATTGATCGGGAGATAATATTTCTTGAATATGTATAGAGTTTAGTCAGTTATATTTATGATCACTTCTTTTGTGTATCGAAGATGTATTAAGCTTCAAAATGAAATGTAAAATAGTATACTTTATTTTCAATGTTTTGTTCGGTACTTGATCATAACACTGTTGAGCCCACTATGGTAATGGTTCATGCTCAAGACCCACATGTCCATATTATTTTGACAGGACCCCCAATGTTTTAAACAGAAACATCATCTTCATCAGCCCCAATCAGCTGGTCACAATAAATCATGGCATCTGGCCATGATAAACTGCCCAAATGCAGTAGGGGTCCCTTTTATAATAAGGAACAAAACAATTAAGATGTTTTACTAAATTAATTTTGTTATATGGAATACAGTCCACAATGGCTAATAAGCTTGCTCACTAAAGTCCAAGAGTCCTCAGTCTGAAATTAACAAAACTAATCTGGTATCACCCAGTGGCATTTGCACATCATAATCCAGACATTCACAACAGTACTTATCAGTGACTGGATTTTGCAATACAAGCTCAGAACTTATTGGAATGTTTACTGGTAGAGTTGAGCGAACCCAAACTGTAAAGTTCGGTTTCGTACCGAACATTCAATTTTTGGGACCCTGGACCCGAACACAGACATATCACTGTATGTTTGGGTTGGAGTTCGGTGTTCGTCAATTTAATGGCACATTTTCAAAGGCTGTAGGGCAGCCAATCAACAAGCGTTTGACTTGTGTGCCTTTAGAAGCCATCACAGCCATGCCTACTAACGGCATGGCTGTGATTGGCAAGTGTAGCATGTGACCCAGCCTCTATATATAAGCTGGAGTTGCATAGCGCAGCACACACATGAGGTCTTATTAGTGTAGGGAGAGGATGCTGCCGCTGTGAGGGACAGCTTAGGAAAGAATTCTGCAAACTAGTACATTCGTGGGGTGCACTTCATATCTGAGAGTCAAATAGAAGCTTCAAATACTGCTGTCACATTGCAGTTTTAAAACTTAGAATTTTTAGGTTGCTAAAAAGTACATTAGTGGGGTGCACTTCATATCTGAGAGTCAGATAGAGGCGTCAAATACTACTGTCACATTGCAGTTTTAAAACTTAAAATTTTTTGGATACTAAACTGCTAAATAGTATTTTAGTAAGGTGCACTTCATATCTGAGAGTCAAATAGAAGCGTCAAATAGTGCACTTACTGCGCAGTTGTAAACATTCTAATTGTTTGCTGCTAATCTGCTAAATGGTAAATTTTGTGGGCTGCTCTTCATATCTGAGAGTAAAATAGAAGCGTCTAATAGTGTGGTTACAGCGCAGTTGTAAAAATTCAAATTGTTCTGCTGCTAATCTGCTAAATAGTACATTTTGGGGCCTGCTCTTCCTATCTGAGAGTCAAATCGAAGCATCTAATAGTACACTTACACCGCAGTTGTAAATATTTGAATTTTATGGGTGCTAATCTGCTAAATAGTAAATATGCGGCCTGCAGTGCACTTCATAACTGAGAGTCAAATAGAAGCGTCAAATAGTGCGCTTACTGCGCAGTTGTAAACATTCTAATTGTTTTACTGCTAATCTGCTAAATAGTACATTTGAGGCCTGCAGTGCACTTCATAACTGAGAGTCAAATAGAAGCGTCAAATAGTGCGCTTACTGCGCAGTTGTAAACATTCTAATTGTTTTACTGCTAATCTTCTAAATAGTACATTTGAGGCCTGCGGTGCACTTCATATCTGAGAGTCAAATAGAAGCGTCAAATAGTGTGCTTACTGTGCAGTTGTAAACATTCTAATTGTTTTGCTGCTAACCTGCTGCTTACATTGGAGTTTTAAAAAGTCAATTTTTTTTTTTTTTTGGTGCTAAATAGTATATTTGGGGTGTTCACTTCATATCTGACAGTCAAATCAAAGCGTAACTTTGATTTGAATTTACTACATTGGTCACTTGTAATATTGTTTCACACCTACAACACTTGTTACACAGATCTCAGTGATAGAAAACAGATTGATATTTTCTACACTAGAAACTACCAGATAACAAGCTGCTATATTTAAACCAGTTATCAATAGCAAAGGAGGTACTTAAACAATATTGTAATTCTGGGGCAATACCCTCACAAGTCAAACTGAGAGGTCAGTTTATAGGGAAAACTGTTGCCTTGATACAATTCTAAAACAATTTCCATATGTCCTTTGCAGACTTTAGATGCTGGAAAAACACAGGTGCCAACTGCTGTGGCTTTCTGCAGTGTGCATACTGGCAAGGAGGGCAGGGTTGAGGAGTGGGTGGAAGATGATGGGGAGGATGATGAGGTCCTAGACTCCACATGGAATCAAGGTCATGCGAGTGACGTGTGCAGTCTGGAGGAAGAGGCACTGGTTGCACAGCGGCACCAGCACAGCATAAGAGGGAGCAGGGTGCAAAAGCAGAGCGGACATCCCCTAGCGCTCGTCGGCATGTATTAGCTCGAAAATGACCAGTTATTCAAGTAATACATGTAGTGATCAAAGGATCCATAATAGATTTGAATGAACCTGAACTGCAAAGTTTGGGTTCATACCAGATTTAATGATCCATTCGTAGTTTCGCAGTCAGGTGGGTAGTCCAGTGACCAGAACCCAGACACTGTCTGGGCTGCGGTCGGACGACCGGGATCCAGTATGCCTGATGTTGAAGTTAGGAGTCACAGTGTGGAATGGATTAGCAGGGTCTCGTGCAGGGTAACCGCACGCCCCCTGGTGTTGAGCACAAGTGTTTGTGTGGCCACATACCAGGACCATGATGCAGATTCAGTAAAAAGAGTACTAAATACCAGAAGCCATCACCAGACTGATCCGCAACTTGGAACAGGATGTGACATTCACTGTAGCGGCTGTGCGCGCTTTTGGCGTTATCACCATGCTGCTGCTTGCCTGTCTGCACTGCAGTGTAAGTTCGGCCTTCCCACTCATCGCCTCATGAGACTGTGCGAGCAGCAGCAGGCAATAGTAGAGTTTCAGCTGCAGCACGCACGGGTCAGTGGCTCTGCACCAGACTTCTCTCCAATTGATCAGAGTTAAAGGATTTCAAGTGGACTCATTACAATTACAGGGCCTCTAGAGAGTCCTGTATTGTAATTTGTCGTCACTACCTTCCCGCGTCGGGAGTGGGTCATTTGCGCGCCTGCTGCCTTCCTTGCATGTGGTAGCCATTTCTCAGAGTCCCTGTATGGAATGGAACCCTTATTCCCTGTTACCAGTAGTCACCCTGGAAGGCGCAGAAACTGGCATCGAAAGTTTATAAGGATGACATCCGAATGCAAAGTCGCCGTCACGGGGATGTGTGATTGGCCCGAGGTTCTCTAGAGTCAACAAAGTGCCTGAGCAACTTTTTTTCAAAGTTCGGCCGAACCCGCCGGACCCGAACATCCAGGTGTCCGATCAACTCTATTTACTGGATTTTGCCATGTCCAGATGCAACCAATCCTCTGAAATTCAGAGCTGAATAATTAAAATAAAAAAACAACACTCAAATACAATGATAACTATACAGAAAAAGTAAAAGGCACATATTTGTTAGCTCGATGGGCTTAAGCTTGAATAATGAAAACACATTATTTTAGGTTACTAAATTATATAATATTAATTGTGTATTTATTAAATTAATTTTGTTTATTTATTTTTTTATTTTTCTACCATTGCCCACTGACTAATAGTACTAGAACTACTTCTGGTGAAATATTGTGAAATATCTTGTAGGTTCACATGCAAAAACTAGGTTAATTTATTTTGCAAACATGTTTTCTATCAGATTTGTACAGAGTGAATCTTATCAAATGTTGTGTTTGATAAGAATGTAAATCCTACATTTTAGATCAGACTCGAATATTAGAATTACTGATATAATAGGCACTAAATGAGAACATATAGGATGTGATCATTTGGTTGAAATAAACAAAATCAACTTGTCTAAATTTTATTAAACATTGGAATTGCACACTGGGTTGAAATTTGGTTAATTTTACTAAATTTTGCTGATCTGGATTGTACCCAAACTTTAGTAAATATTTAAAAATCACTGCTCTACAGTAAGAAAAATATATCAATCTGTAATCAGTACTTCTTAGAAATATCATAGTTTTAAACTTGATACTCATATGAAACATACAATTGATTTTGGGAAGTAGAGTATCCATATATTTTACTTTTAATTGAAATACATGAAATTTTTCTTTATTAAGTTAAGCGTTTTACATTTCACCTATAGCGCTAGTGTAGTGTAGTTACTTTAGTAAATATCCTTTTACTGAAAATGTAATTTTGATAATATGCTCTTTCTACGGCAGATTGCAAACATAAAGGGTCTTCAATTAGTTCTCGGAGGATCATACACTTTGGAATGGAATCAATACTTGGAAAGATTTGATTGTTACCCAGAAGCAAGTGCGAGTAAAGAACAATGTGAACAACGAGGTTGCACTTTTGATGTATGTGGAACATATTTACATTTTTTAACAAATTTACATAAGCCACATTTTACACTAGTTTCATTATTTAAAAACAACAAATCAAGTTAATATTTTAAAAAAAAGTTATGAATACATTTGTTCTATTATTCAAGAACCATTTTGAAGGCCTACAAGCAGTAGCTAACTAAAATGAGATGTTATTACTAAGCCTAAAATAAATAGTATTCATGAATTTTAAAATAAATGGGTTTCAATTCAACAACCTTTTGCACTTTGAGATTTTCTGTGTAAACTGATACATATTTAGCACAAGTACATGGAGGATTTATGTTGAAAATCGTGGTATTGGTTAAAAATATTTTTTCCAGAATTTGCAAGAAGGCTTTTTCTATATTTCTATAAAACTATATTCAAACATATATAAATTTATAAAAATGTGTAATTGTCGGACATTATGTATATTAACCTGTGTTCAAAGATAAACAATATTTAAGACTAGTATAGTTTACGAATAAGGTAATTCTTACATTTACAACATCCTTCTTCTAAATTTAAGCTATAGTTAATGATTGTTGATTTATTTTTATTGCATAGTAGATCAGAATGTTCCTATGTCTTTAATTTTCTTGTATTTCAAATATCAAAGTTTAAAGAAATTAATCATTAATAATTTTCTCATGTGGAGTATTTAATATATCTATACATTTTTCAGGTACCCTCATCATCTGTGGTGCCATCTTGTTTCTATCCTCAAACATACGGGTATACTGTTAGCAATGTTGTAGCTACCTCAACTGGCATTACAGCAATTTTAAATAATGCACAACCTTTTTCAAGATATGGTTCAGACTCTCCTACAATAGATACACTGCGTCTCACTGTGATTTACCATGAAAATAGTATGCTACAATTTAAGGTAAGCATTCCAATTTATAAAATGTATCAATGAATGCACAAATATATAAATTGTGTGTATATCTATCTATCTATCTATCCAGCTATCTATCTACCTATCTTATATATACATACAGAATACATATAAAAAAATATACTGCTGCACTTAGTTACTAGTAGTAAAAAAATTGAAAAATCTAAATAAATAAATTCTTAATCCAAACAGATACTTCTGCTTAATAGATTGGAGGTCACATTATCTCAAGAGGAACACACATTTAAACATGATGTTAAGAATTAATAATGTCACTTAAGCACCCAGTATCTGTAAAATCACTTTTTTTGGAGCATTCTTTAAATATTTGTCCCAAAACATTGTTGGACGGCAACATCTATAATTCCCTGAAATTTTTTTTTTAAGAGAAATTTTAACAGTAGGAATATAAACCTGTCCCTAGTAATATTACGTCTTCTCCTCCCTTTTGCAGTAATATATTTTTTCACATTTTTCCAGTGCTGAGACTCCATTGACAATGCTCATTTCCCTTCTTCCTGTGACATCATCCCGTGATGGCCCAATCCACTGCTCCTCAAAGGAGAAATAGGGACTTGATGCTCAAGCACAGTGCTTACCTATGAGCTTTCCTGTCACATTACCGAGCTTTACTCAGTCAGTGCATGAGAAGTGTCTCTTGTGGTTTTCTGGAAGACATTTACTTGGGGTAGATTTAACCATGTAACATAAACATTACAGTTTTATAAAAACTGAAATGTCTACATTGCTGGCTTAAAATAGCAGGCTCACTGCACTGAGATGAAGTGGTATAGGTAGCTATAGTGGTTCTTTAAGTAAAATCCAGGGAAATCACAGTTTGATATTCATGCTTTTTGATATTGATATCAGACTTTTATCGTATCTGTATTATAACCTACATCAGTGGCGGTTGGTGACTCCTCCCCACGAATTTGACTTCTTATCAAGTACATATAGATATAGATACAATACAGAAAGCAGAGCATACAGAGATGCTCATACAATAAAACAAGCTGAGCAGAACATAAAAATACCTATAAGACACATAGAACTAAGTACCATACAGCAGTAGCCATACCACAAACATCTGAGAAGAAATGTAGATATATACACACAGCTCTCTGTATAATGCTTTAGCTCTCACTGTTCATAGCTATATCCTAGATCTCCCATACATGATCTAATCTTCAGCAGTGCAGTGAATTTAATGTTGATACTGTTATGAAACATGTCAGCTACTCCATTAGCTCTCAGCACACAGTGTACATAGGGTTAAGGCATTAGGATACTGATAGATGCCTTAGTACCTTTGCATCTGCTAATATAATTATTATGCATTGGTAATATGGGGCCTAAAAAAAAAATAGCCAACATGGTTTACAGAATTAACAATCATTACAGCTTAAAACTAAAAATCTGATAAGTTTTCAGTGTCACAGCCCCAGTCGTGCAGTTTGAAACACTTTTCACACACTTCTAACTAGCCACAGCATGAAGATGGTGTGTTTGTGCAGTAGGCGTTATTAAGACTATTAGTGACAGGAAGCACAGTGCTCTTTGATAGAAATGTCCAAATAACCTTGTCACCTTCACCTTCTCTTGCTTTCTATATATTATATATTTGATTAAATTCCCTTACTCAACTCTCAGGCAGTCACTGGGGCTATTGGGGGAGAAAAAAAGATATACACTTACATTTGGCAGGGGTCAGGAGATTCTGCTGTGGTGCTCTCTGTGTTACTTTCAAGATGGCTTCTCCTGTGGGCACTGTAATCCCACCGTCTGCTATCAGCCAATGATGGCTCCTGAATAGTGAGGCTAATAGCATGCCTCCACTCATGGACAGTCTCCACTCAAGCCCCTTTGGATGAGCCTTCACTGGCATTTATACTGATATTTTGCACTCGTTTCTTGCATTGTTTGGCAATATTTGTTGTATAGTTATGTTTTTACTACATTAGCAAAATTGTGGTAATTATGTCCAATAACATCAATGAAAGCAGTAGTTCCACATTCCTTTTCTTGTCTTGGAAGTGCTGTCATCCTACTTACTTTGTACTATTTACATTTTTTGTCATATGTTTATATTTTAAGCATTGTTTGTTATGTGTTTTGCCTAAATCAACCAGATTTTTTTACAAGATGCATTAAATTGTGTGTCGCGCTTTATTACTTTAGCTTGCCTTAAATACAACTATGAATAAATAAAAAAATAGACAAAGTATTTTAATGAATATTTTTGCCCTATGAAAATAGATTGATGATCCAAACAACAGCAGATATGAAGTTCCTGTGCCAATTAGAACCCCAAGTAGACCAACAAGTACAGAACAGCAAAGGATGTATGATGTTGAAATTGTAAACAATCCTTTTGGAATCCAAATTAAAAGAAGAAGCACTGGTACCATTGTGTAAGTAATGTTGATATTTTCATGTTGAAACATCTGTTTAATATTCTAATGGTATCACACTACAAAAGTCCAGTCTTACAAAGAACAGAATACTGTTTTCTGATTGTTATAAATATGTTATATTATTACTATTATCACCTGCACATCTCAACTTTGATAAGTACTTCTTGATCATAGAAACGCAAGAAATTGTGTTTCCACAACTATCCTAGAGTTCCCAACTTGATATGCAAATGAACACAGACAGGCATTGTGTTTTAGACTTCATACTGCATTTCTGCAGTTACCCTTGGCAATCGACATTATTTTAATTACAGCTTTTCTTAAACCAAACCATGGGCTATGACACCAAATGATCAGTGACCAGTTTCAAACTTGTGGGTCTCATCACCATGGCACCATTGGAAAGTGAAGTCTCTCTGAGAGCATATAGCTCGGTATCAAAAAGATTGTGGTGTGATTAAACATGGTAAAATTCACTACATGGAAATACAATAATTACTGTTGTGCACTACGTGTGTATCAAGTTGGACTTTGAGAAGTCCTTCTTGCATATACACCAATCAGCTGCAACATTAAAGCTACCTTCCTAATATCATTTAGGTCACCCTCATGGTGCCAGAACAGCTTTGATGGGTCAGGGCATGGACACTGCAAGAACTCTGAATGAGTCCTGTAGTATCTGGCACCAAGACATTAGAAGAAGATCCTTTAAGTCCTGCATGTTGCGAGGTGGGGCTGCCATGGATTTAATTTGTTGTCACAGCACAACCCACAGATGCTCAGTCAGATTTAG